TGAGGGGGTAAGGTTACCCTGTCCTAGTTTCGTCAGGAACTAGGGTTTACTATTTAAACAAAGTGGTTTCACGCAATCCTGTATTCGGGTGAGCATCCTATCCTAGTTTGGAACAGTCTCTATGGCTTTTCGATATGCAACTAGGCCAAATGGTCAAAAGGGTACCTCAGCAAAATTGCCTAATATACCTCTCACACCTAACACTGAGAAGTGAACGGAGGATCAAACGGTACAGTGGTAGTCCAAATCCAAGGGTTGTGTTCCCATCATGGCAAATCCCATGACCGATCTGCCTTTTGGCAAGCCTTTTGGGCGAGCCTCCGACAAACCGTCTAGGAATAGCAAATGGCAAACACAGTGACTTAAACATACCAATGCAAATACAATGCAAAGAAACATATAATTGTAAATAAAATTTAATATCATGAATTTCAAGTCAAGTTCTCTAATTTCCCCAGTAGAGTCGCCAGAAACTGTAGCTCGACTTTTTCGCGCCCCCTTTTAGAAGTTGAAATAAGCCCTACAGTATCGAACTCCCACGGTTTTCAATCTGATTCCATAAGTGCAATGTGAAATAGATAAACACCAAAGAGTCCCAATCCGGTAAATCTTTTTGGAAAATCAATTTTGAAAAAAAAATGCTAAAAATTGACTGCTTTGCTAGATACAAAGTCGCCACTTAAATATTTTGTTTTGGAAAAATTTAGGAAACCCAAGGCTCATGCCAAAAGCCACGTGTCTGTCATCACCAAAATTGTCTCGGCCCAGGAACTTAGGTACGAGAGGGGAAGGTCATGAATGAATTTGAGCACCCACACTTGCCCGATCAAAGATCAGCCTCTACTAATTATGATATGAATCTTATGTACATTATATGTTCTTGTTCCAGTTTATTAGGCTAGCATTACTATGTGATGCGCACACACACAAGTATAAACTAAATTTGCAAGAATTGGAACACTTGATTCATGTTTGTTTTGAAAATTGGTTTGAAATATGTACCACTTGAAAAAGTGATCGCATATAAACATTGCTCAAATTATTCCAATTCAAGCAACAAGCCTTCATCTATAGGATTTCAAGTAGTTATAACACTTAAGCATTTAGCCTTATAGCAAGCATGCTAAACATGGCAACAATCACACACATGCGATACGCTAAAGCAAGTAAAAGGCTCATCTAGTACTCCAAGCCAAAATAAACAAAAGAGTTAGAAAAATGCATGATCCTAACTTATGCAATATGGCTAATGCAACACATGTGATATGCAATCTAAATAGGCTCAGCTACTTAACATGATATGTGAAGCAATTTTGATAACATGCGGTCTAAGCATGTATTCAAAGAAGTATTAAACTAACAATGTAGTTAGAATGATGAACCAAGGCCCGGTGCATGCAATACAAATGGATGCAAACATGAAGTATGCTAAACAAAACATGATGTCCCTAAACTAACCATCATAAGCTAGTAAATAAAAGAGAGAAAGATGTGGGATTGGAAGGCATACACATTATTACATTGCGCTCTCACGAGGGAGAGTCCGAATGAATAAACTAATTAGCCAACTAATTAAAGCTAAGCTAATTATTACAAAACAAATGAAATTAGCTAAAATACTTAACTAATTATTACAACACTTGAATTAACTATTCTAGCTAACTAAAATAATTACAAAACATAATCGAATAACTAGTTAACTAACTAATTAATTACAACACATATAAAAATTAGCTAGCTACAACTAATTAATAACAACAAATATCAAGGCTAAATATTCAAACTTAAACATGATCGATACGCGAGGAATGCACATGCACGTGCTCGGTTTCCACCTGAAATTCACTGTTTTGCTTCCAGAAGGCCTCTGTTGCACAATAAAACAGTAACACTTTTGTCCATTTCCAAAATAGCTCTACTCTGGTCAAAAAATACACTGTTGAATTTTGCATCAGTGGCCGGCTGGCCAATACTGAGGACCTACCGGCCACTACTGCCTAGTTCATCTTGCTGCAGCAGAGAACAAACAGAGCATGCACAGGGTATTCTCAAGGGTTTGTTTGCACAATTCACCCTTCGTTTTCATGAACAAATCAAAGGAGTAGTAAACTTGGTCCGCAAACCATCAACTCAAGCAATCTCATTGCATGATGACTCATGAACCAAAGTGTGTAATTTCAATAAATGCAACAAAATAAGACTCAAACCTCCTCCTTTTCATGAATTGATCAAGGGAAGTGGTGACCTTGGAAACTTGAATCATTTCATCACTAATGAGTATGAAATGCCTTAAGCTTCCATGTGTTCAATTAACGTCCGATTGAACACAACACTTTCTATTATCTTGCACCATTTTAGCCTCAATTTTAGATTACCAACCATTCTTTAGTTCACTGAGTCCAAAGGTGAGTTTAAGTCCTCTAATGGAAAGAGGGCTCAAATCAATTGTTACTTTAGGCATGGAGGAGACAGCATACCGTTGGTGATGAACCCCAAAAAGATTAAACCATTAAGCATGACACCTCAATCTCATGCTTAAACAAACAAATTGTTTAAAACCACTTTCAAAGCAAAACAAAAACCAAAAAATGAGGGAGGTTGCAAAGGTGATTAAGAGTGATTACAAGTATGGAAAGCCATAAATAAATGCAATCAACTCAAACAAGATGGTGTCTAAGGCCTAGAACACCAAACTTATGAGGACAATTACACTACAAGCATGCAAAACAAAGCTCAAATGCAACTATCAACCAAAAATAGTGCTAAAACAATCTAAAATAAGTCCTAAAACATGTTGTAATTCAGACAAAAATTGCTAGATTAATATGCTAAAACATAGCACAAACTAGGCTAGTAAGCAAGACATGAGGAGGAAAGGCTAAACCCTCCAAATTTGGACTTCAAAACATGATTTTACCCACTGAAATAACTCTAGAAAATGGTTTAGCTCAAAAAAAAATAGTAAAAGGAAGGGAAACACAAGGGTAAAGGCCTCCAAAACAAGGTGCAAAGAAGGGTGAACTACCCCTCAACCTTTAATGGCCTTAGAACCCAAGTTTCAGCCCAAAAACATAGAGCTTTTATAGCCCAAAAATAGTTGGAAAATTACAAGCAAAATAGCAAATAAAACAAAGCAACAAGCAAAGCCTTATACCTCTTGAAGAGAAGACCAATTGTAGGCAACAAATCCAGACAACACACCCTTCAAGAGCTCAAACCAAGCGTAAAAGTATCTTAGCTCAAAGATGAGAAGGTTTGGTTAAGGGTATATAGGCAAAGGTTAAGGATTTATAGGCTAAAGTATAGAAATTTGGAAGAGAGAGAGGAAAAATTTTGCTCTAAAATTTTTCTAACCCTAAAACATAAGAGGGAGGCCTCCTATATATAGAAAACATGAATTCCCCTTAAGAACATCCAATCCTACATATGGAGGTAGATGCAAGCATCTGTGCAAATAGTGGCATAGCTAGAACAAAATATCTACAAAAGACACTGGTGGTCGGCCGGCCATCACTGGTGGCCGACAGGCCACATCAGTGGTCGGCAATCAAGAGTAATGGCCGGTAGCCCAAAAAGGTGGCTGGTAAGCCACCAAAGGTTGCAGGCTTGAAGAACCAAAGTCTGGTCCAAGAATGAGGCAACAAGGGTGTAGGGTTTAAAGTGCTCAAAGTTGTGGCATTCCACCATGGACTTCGAGCACTTGACGAGCAAATAAACTCATCATCGGGTGTGCATGCAATGGCATCCAAGTTGTAAAGGCCATCAAAAATGAGGTGTCTACAACCTCTGGTAGGTTGCTGATACATTCTTCAAACCGAAAAGTATCACTCTATAATAATAGAGTCCTTTTGGCACTACAACAAAACTAACTATTTACGGCATCATGTTTACGACATGCATTAAATGCATGTCGTAGTTAGTACATTCTACGGCTTTTTTTTTTTTTTGCAAGCCGTTAATATTTTGTCAATAACAGCATACATACCATGTAAGTCGTTAATTCATATATTTATAGCATGCAAAAGTATGCCGTAAAAAATGTATGTTTTTACGACTTACAAAAATATGTCGTAAACTATTTGCATTTAAGACGACATACATTTCATGTTGTAAAATAATATAACTTTACACGGCATACATTAACATGTCGTAAAAACTTCTGCAAAAAAAAAATAAATAAATAATCAGAATTTTTTTATGGCACGCAAAAGCATACCATAAAAAATGTATATTTTCACGGCATACAAAAATATGTCATAAAATATTTGTACTTAAGATGACATACATTCCATGTCGTAAAATATTATAACTTTACACGGCATGCATTAGCATGTTGTGAAAACTTTTATTAAAAAAATTTCAATCTGATTTTTTATTTATTTATTTAAAAAAGCTAACAATTTCCAACCAAGCTTCTCACCTTAAATTTTCCTAATTGAGGACAATATAAAAAATAATTTATACGTTATTTTATAATTTAGTGTCTCTTTTAAGGGATAATCGCACCCAGTGGGATTTTGGGGAAAAAAAATTACACATTCATGACAAAGCTTATAATTTTAATGATTAATATTTATATGGCTTCTCACTAATTTGTAATTATTATTTTTTTAAATTACCTTGATTTGATATTTTTCTTTCTTTTAATAATTTATTTATTTTTTACTTTTTAGATATGCCTAATCTGAATACAACTAAAAAATAAAATATTTGTAAAAAAAATATAATAAAATATAATATATATGAAATGTATTAAATTTTATATTTTTTTGAATTTAATGATTTTTTAAAAAAATTAAAAAATATTTTTCTTTTAAGTATGTGTAAATTATTTGAATTTAAAAAGTAAAAAAAATTATTTAAAATATTTAAAAACTTACTTAATTAAATTGAAAAACATTGCCTCGTTATACTCTCAAAAAAATTATTTAAAATATTACAATTTAAAATATTACAAATATTACAATAACTAAAACAAAAAACTGAAAAACATTTTAGGCCCCTTATTCTCTCACTCACTCTCAGGTGTCAATCTCTCTCTCTCTCTCTCTCTCTCTCTCAACCCTCTCTAAACCCTAATCTCTCTCAACCGATCGAATTAGCCTTCTTCAGCCCCGTTTGATCTAATCTCAGAGCGATTGGTGATTCATCTCAGATCCAATCTCAGAGCGATTAGCAATTTCGAAGCTCTATCGCCTCTACCATCTGCATCGGCGAGAGAAGCGAGGACCATCGTCTACTAAGGTAAGCACCACCGTCTCTCTCTCTCTCTCTCTCTGTGTCAGTTTCGTATTCTCTTTCTCTCTCCCTCAAGCACTTCCTTCCCGTCGAGTTTGCGCAATTTGCTGAATAATAATTTGTTGATGGAATCTCAATTAAATTTCACTAGTGCTTCGTAGTGCTCTTTGATTTTGTGTTACCATTGATGACAAATGCCAATTAGGGGTCACAAAATGCTATAAATAACAAATATAGGATATGTCAGTGAATTTGGATGTATGTATTGTGTTCTCTGTTTTTGTTTAGTATGGTGGTTGTTCCATTCCTGTATATCTTAGCATAAACTAGGAAGAACATATGATTGCGACATGTTATGTAGTTTTTAACATGCTTTCTTAGGACTTAATTATCAGTTTTGTGTTTTGTTACGAATTTGACGTTATGTTTTTGTTTAGTTGGTAGTGATATTTGTTTTCAACATATGAGCAGTTTCTGAGTTTGTAGGTTAAAATTCTACTTGGTTTGTTATAAGGTGATATATGCCCAACAAACCAAGTATATTACATGTTCTATTTTTTTCAACATTTGTTAAATTTGGAGTTCCAATTATAGCCTATCAGGATTGCTAAAAGGCTTAATCAAGTTTGCAGAGTAGGACTTGAATGTCATCCCTTGACTGACATAGAAATGTAGTTTACTTAAGGAATGCACAATTTAAATGAATGGGATAAATGAAGATTGTGTTGTGGTTGAGGTGACAATAATGTTGTGATCCACTGAAGATTACACAGTTGAGATTTAGAATTTAAAAGCAAGAGAAATTGCTTGGGTTCAGAAATAGAGAAGATTAAATTTGATTAGTAGAGATGCACAGAAAAGAGAGTCTAATTCCCAAACTTGTATTTGTATTGGGTAGCAAGATGGTTAAGAACCGGAGCTTCATTTGATTTGCCAATTCACAATTTGAATGATATGATAGTTCCGATAGAATAGAAACCCCCAAAAGAAAAAGAAGAAAGGAATAAAAATTCAGTTGGAGTGTGAAAAAGGAAGAAATGAAGACATTATTATTGTGAGAGTGAAGTCAATCCATAGAATAGAATAGAGCGGAGCAGAGCAGAGCATAGCAATGAAACCCAGACAGACAGAAGCGATGATCAGAAGAGAAGAAGCCAATAATAAGTACGCAAATTAAACAAAACCAATAACATGAACAGGGGCGGTCTACTTGAAGGAATCAAATCAATCATGAAAGAAAGAAAGTCCTATTGGTTTGGGTTGGGTTGGGTTGGGTTGGGGTTGTGTAGTTTGGTTAGAAGGGAATATCTAACAAGATATGTCTAACAAGTCTTATAATAGAAACAAAAGATATGTCTAAAGGGGAACTTCTGTTTCTTTTGGTAATTAAAAAATAAATAAAAATAAAAAGTTAGGATGTACTGATTCATCCTCCAATAGATTAGATTCATCTTGGATTTTAACCGAAACTACTTCAGCATCATCCTGCAATCCGTTAGACTTCTTGTCAGTTTCTCCATCAAACTTCTTTACACCATCACTACTATCACCAGATTTATCAAGATGTTTTGCTCTAATTCTAACATGTTTTCCCTTGATGTATCGATATTCCCATTTTGGCAGTGGATATTTCTTCTTCAATTTTTCGTATTTGTCCAACATACCCAGCTTCTGAAACGCATCTCCAACCATTGAAACGATTGACATGTTTGGTTGGACGCCAAGTTCTTCCATGTCAGCAAATACCTACAAGAGAAAACAATAAGATCCCAAGCTAAAATAAAAGCTCTGTCTAAAGTGTGATACCTAGAATTTCTTAAATAACATAAAAACATATTCATTTAAAAAAAGAGAAGAAAGAGCTTTCTACTGAAATCGTTATTTTTTTAACGGGAATCGATAAGAAATAAGCAATATTTGAACCCTATTAGATTTCATTCAAAAGTAGTAATATACCAATAAAAGCAACTATTCGATTTCATTGAGGTTAGAGATTAGGATAACTTGATAAGTTTTGATTGAATTATGATCCAAATAAGAAAATTCGAATAATCATTTTATGATGAAAAAGGAATAGGAATAGTTGTCTGTTTTGTGTGCATAGCAGATATACAATATACAACCAAAATATAAAAACCTTAGATGTTTGTTCTCAATTTCCTGCATTTTAAGCCTTTAACTCCCAAATGATCTATAGAGACCCATTTCTTCACCCCTAACCCTAATTTAAAGCTTAATCCATTGTTCTTTCAACCCTTTAATCACAAGTTATAAAATAAACCAACCCAGCCCCCTAATTACTATTATAGAGTACTATTCACTTTATCCATAATAGCCCCTGAATATTCACCCAAAACCCACCTTTTCATGCCCAAATCTCTACCCTTCTCTTATACAATCCCCAATAATCTACTTAATTTATTGAGCTTTCAACCATCTTTCCAAACACAAAAATTTTAACTTACTAAAATAGTCAACTTCCCAAACGAAGCTAATATTTTTTAGTACTTTATATTCATTTTATCAAAACTCTTCCTGGATCCACCTAAAGAAATGAACTTTGACAAGATTGCAAAACCTATTCCCTGTTACTATTTTTATTTTCAGCTTAAATCAGAGGAATTGCATACTGCAATCAGCATGTTTAACCATCCAAAATGAAGGGGGAGAAGTAGGAAAGAGAACCCCCCCCCAAAAAAAATAATAATAATAATAATAAATGAGAGAGAGAAAGAGAGATGGTTTTCCCTGTATTTTTTTGACAATTAGGACAGATAAACAATATACATTGAATCGTTGTTACAGAGAGTTGACAGCTTCGTCGAGTAGTTTCGGTTAATAGTTTGACGTCTAATAATTACAAGAGTAGCCAATTAATTATACAATAGAGTGTTAGTCCAAGTGGTCATAATTAGCACTTGAGTTTTAGTATAGAGATGGAGTAACATTAGTTTATTGTAATTCATTTTTCTTGTGAGAAAAGTTCATGTATGAAAACTAAGTTGTGTTATGTGATTTAAAACTTTAAGAGAATCCAAAGTAATTATGTTAAAATTGTGGAATTTTCTATGTTTTCTCAAAACAAGAGGGGAGGTCAATGCAATACCCAGAAAGAGTCTTTGTTTTTTTGTTTTACGATATTTTTGTTTTTTTTTTCTCTCATTAAATTGCTTTAAATTGTTTTTTCCCCTCTTCTTTCTTTGGAAATGGACTTGTTTACTTAGGTTTGGATCCAGAGATTACATGTAGCTCTAAGCACAATCGTATCCAAGAGATTACCTAAGTCTACATTGATAAATCTTGGGTGCATCTTTCAAGGTTTTTTTTTCTCAAACACAATAACTTTTAAGCTTTTATATGGTCATTTTATTGGAATAATAAAGTTTGATGTAAAATTATCAGAGTGTCGAAGGATTATCTGGATGGAGCACACAAGTTCGTAGATGTAGCCAAGGCGAACGTAAGGAATCCCGAAATGATCGTTTGCCCTTGTAGAAATTGTCGAAATCTATATCTCACCAATTTTGCGAGATTGTGTACGAGCACTTGGTCATGGAAGGGATGGATCCTAAATATACTTCTTAGTTCCTTCACGGGGAACAACTAATTGCATCGTCACATCAGGAAGACGTTGAAATTTCAGATACACATAAGATGTTCAGAGACGTGCATTTTAAAGATGATGATTTTGCAGAGTCTACAAGTGAAAGTAGAGAGAGAGAATTAACACAATCATTAGAAGATATTGACACTCCTTTATATCCAGGGTGTACAAAGTACACTAAATTCTCAGCAATTGTTGCTTTATACAAGCATAAAGCTTCACATGATCATTCTGATAAAAGCTTTGATGAACTTATTCGACTAGTGTCTGATATGCTACCAGAAGATAACACGCTTGTCAAATCTATATATTCAGCAAAAAAGATGCTCAAAGCCTTTGATCTAGGATATGAGAAAATCCATGCTTGTGTGAATGATTGCTGTTTGTTTAGAAAAGATTTAAAAACTAGACACTAAACGGTCGAGTTCGGGGATCCTGAGGCAAGGCGCGTGAGCCGAGACCTCCGGGAACTCCGAACGAACACAAACAAGGATAATCACCGAGTGTTCAAACGGTGACGTCCAAGTCTTGAGGACGGTCAAAAATGGGGTGTCTACACACGCTTGTCAAATCTATATATTCAGCAAAAAAGATGCTCAAAGCCTTTGATCTAGGATATGAGAAAATCCATGCTTGTGTGAATGATTGCTGTTTGTTTAGAAAAGATTTAAAGCTTAAGGAGACGTATCCGAAATGCAATTATTCACGTTGGAAAGTAGATAAACGCACTAAGAAGATTAAAAAGGGAGTTCCTGCGAAGGTGTTGCGATATTTTCCAATAATACCAAGATTTAAAAGGATGTTGAAGTCACAAGAGAGGGCAAAGCAATTAACGTGGCACTCCTCTCATAAAAGCCAAGATGGCAAGATGAGACATCCAGTTGACTCATTGGCATGGGAATCAATCAATCAAAAGTGGCCTTCTTTTGCATCAGATCCACGAAATCTTAGACTTGGTCTTTCAACAGATGGATTTAATCCTTTTACCAATCTTAGCTCAAAGTATAGTTGTTGGCCAGTGATGTTAGTTACATATAACCTTCCCCCATGGTTATGCATGGCAAAGGAAAATATCATGTTGAGATTACTAATTCCAGGGCCAAAGCAACCAGGCAACAACATAGATGTTTATCTAGAGCCACTTGTGAAAGACCTAATAGAATTATGGACTAATGGTGTCAGGACTTATGATGCAGCCAATAACTCCATGTTTAATTTGAAGGCTATTTTGATGTGGACAATAAATGATTTTCCAGCTTATGGAAACTTAGTTGGATGCACCATAAAGGAAAAAGTTGCTTGTCCAATATGTAGTGCTTACACATGTTCACAATGGTTGAGTAATAGTAAAAAGACTGTGTACATGGGCCACAGGCGATTTCTTGCACCTGACCATCCATTTCGGATGAAAAGAAGTTGGTTTGATGGAAAGCAAGAACTTCAAGGGAAGCCTAAACCATTAAATGGTTCTGATGTTTTCAGTGTAGTTAAAGACATTGAAAATAATTTGGGAAAAGCAACAAAGGAGAGAAAAAGGAAAAAGTCCCAGACCATCAAAGAAAAAGAGCCAGTTTGTGTTCAACCACGGAAGAAAAAGTCCATATTTTTCAATTTACCATATTGGGATGTAAGTCTAAAGAAAGTAGAATTCCTATTTTCAAAATTAGTTGAATTTGTTATTCTTATTTTTTATAGAATGAATATTTGATTGATGTTACAGGCGTTACTTTTGCGTCATAACTTGGATGTAATGCACATTGAGAATAATGTTTGCGAAAGTATCATTGGCACACTATTGAATGTGAAGGGGAAATCAAAGGATGGCCTTAAAGCTCATAAAGATTTGGAAGAAATGGGCATTAGACAAAAATTGCATGCGGAGAACAGAGGAACTCATTTTTATTTGCCAACGGCATTACATACACTTTCAAAAGTCGAGAAGCAGATCTTTTGTTCTAGGTTACATGATTTAAAGTTGCCTGATGGTTATAGCTCCAATATTGCTAATTGTGTTTCATTAGAAGAGTGCAAGCTGATAGGCCTCAAGTCACATGATTGTCACGTCTTGATGCAACAGTTGTTGTCAATAGCGTTGAGAGGACTTTTACCAGAGGGACCAAGGAATGCAATATTTCGATTGTGCACTTTTTTCAATCAAATATGTCAAAGAGTGATTGATAGGAATAAATTAGAACTACTCGAAGAAGATGTTGCTGAGACTTTATGTATGTTGGAAAGGTTCTTCCCTCCATCATTTTTTGATATTATGGTTCACTCGACAATCCATCTAGGATGAGAAGCTCACATATGTGGACCAGTGCAATTTCGTTGGATGTACTCATTTGAAAGGTGAGGTGTATATCACTTTTTATTATGTATATCTATTGATGTATTTGTCAAAAAAGCTATTAACCTGAATATTAATTATATTATGGTCTAGATATATGAAGATACTTAAGGGATATGTTAGGAATCGTGCAAGACCTAAGGGATGCATAGCGGAATGCTATATAGCTGAAGAGTGCATGCAATTTTGTAGTGGGTACATGAAGCAAGCAACTGAAATAGGTGCTCGACATAACCGCAATGAAGAATTTGAAAATGAAACAATACTAGAAGGACGCCCGATTACGTTGGGGAATTCAATCATGATACCTGATGATGTGTTACAAATTGCTCATTGTTGTGTGTTGATAAACAGTTCTGAAGTCCAACCATATTTAGAGTAAGTATGATAACATAAACATCTATTACTAATTGAGTGTTTATATGATATATTTATCTCACAATTTGCCTTCCTTATCAGAATGCATGCAGAGGAGCTTAAGCTTTTGGATAGACGTTTCTTGAGGGATGCTGCTCTACTACATTCTAGACAAATGGACACCTTTTCTCAGTGGTTGAAAGCAAAGATTGAATCATGTAGTAATGAGGTTTCAGATAGATTGAAATGGCTTGCAGCTGGCCCAAGAAAACATGCAACGTCTTATTTGGGCTATGTCATTAATGGGCATCGCTTTCATACAAGTGATGTCCAAAGGTCCACACAAAATAGCAGTGTTTCCATTGAAGCAGAAACTATTTGTCGATCTAGTAAAAAAGACATTGCACAAGGTATTGAAAAAATCTGTTTCTATGGGGTTATCAGAGACATAATTTTGTTGGATTACTACAAATTTCAAGTTCCTCTATTTAAATGTGACTGGGCAACTACTGGAAACGGTGTCAAAGTTGAAAATGGATTTACATTGGTCAACATCCAACAAGGATGAAATCCATTTGAGAGAGATCTGTTCATTCTAGCATCACGTGCAAAACAAGTGTTCTATTTGAGGGATAATGATACATCTAGTTGGGAAGTTGTACTTAAAGCACCTTCAAGAGGCTTTCGTGATTTGGATATGTATGATGAAGATGCCTATATGCCATCTGCACCTTTAGATGCATCTAGACTTGGTGCAAATACTAATGATGAAGATGAGCACTACGTGAGGATGGATTGTGAGGGTGTGGAAGTGTTGCATGATTAATGAGAAGTAGGAACATTTGATTTTCATACAACTGAATGCTTATTGGGCTTGACTAGTTCTCCTTTACTTGTCGTTCTTTTTATTTTTTCCTTTCTATATAATTTCACTAGCTATTTTCTTTGAAGTTAATATGAGTGAATATACTTGTAAGGTGAATATTGTGCTGTCTTTGAAATCAATATTATCAAGAATTTATTGTTTAGCTTATAAAGATTTATTGTTTGGCTTGTAAAGTTGTATGTATTGATGTTTGATTTGAAATTTATAGTTTTTTAAATTTTATATTGGCCATACCGTTTGTGACCTGTAGATGGGTTGTCTTGTGCTTATCATTAGGAAATGTGTCTCTTATAATTTCTCGAAATGTTTTAATTTTTAATGTCTGATAAGCTTTCAGTATGCTATTTAGGGAAATGAGAATGAGACACATGAGTATATGATTAGATCTTATATTTTTTATAAATGAAATGGTATTACCATGAGTTGATGCATAATTCTCCAGTCGTTTCAATTTCAAATGATTACGAACTGTGTGTGTACTGGTGGTTATATTGTTTGATTTGTTATATTTCATTCTTGTTTTTGGGAAGTGGAACTGTCCTCTAGTTCTCTCTCTCTCTCTCTCTCTCTCTCTTTATGTGTGTGTGTGTACATATTTAAATGTGTGTGTATGCGTGTGTGGTAATTCAGTGTTATTTTTGTTAGGTGTTTGATAGGTTCACATACAGTATTCTCTGTCCGTTGAGCAATAGATGGACACATGACATATAATTAGGCTCTTGTTATTATATTGATTATCCCAGATCAACTACTGTCTTTGCTTCTTCACTGTGTCTGTAAGCATATGTGGAAGTCAATTGGTGCACATGCAGCATTCTCTGTTCATCACATCATTGAGGATCGCATGGCATGTATTTACACTGTACTATGGGTGAGGAAGCCCGAACTTAACCAGCCCACTGACCAATATCAATCACACAAATCGACAGTGATGGGAAATCCAGAATAGGCTCTACATTTGTTGCTGCCTTTTTTTTTTTAACCCTTTTATAATTATCCTTTCCCACTGAATTGCTAACTACGTAGGCGGTGGCATTTGAACTCAGACAAAATGTAATGATTATGGCTTATAGATTGGAATAGTCTTTTCTTCTATACACCTTTATCATTTATTCTTATACTGATTTCTTATTTACTTCAACTTAGACCAAATTGAATAATATGCTATCATCAGTAAATTAGGGTGAAATTCATATATATACATATATGTATATTTTCCTTCTTGTCATTGTAGATGTAGAATTTTTACTTTTATGTTTTTCAGCAAGTGACAGTTCACATCATAAGCTCGATTTGGGTAAATATTGGTTGAATGTCATATTGTGCAGAATGTTTTGATTGAGGAAGTACTTGAACCTGGAGTAAGAGTTACTGTTGCTATGGGAACCAATCACAATTTGGACGCAAGTAATGACTTTATTTTTCTTTTATTTATTTTTGTGTTGAGAGAGATAGGACTTAGCAGGACAAATGAATGGAATTTCATCGCAAGAGTTTTCCCTCACTTCATTTATAACCTATGTTAATATTCATGATTTAATTTTAACATTTTTGAGCTTTTCATGTACTTGGATTTCAGTTTCATATTTTGCACCTCTATATATATTTTTTCCCATGTAAAAAATCATACGTCAGTTAGGTTACTAGGCTGTCTTTAGGATTGTCTGACACCCCTTTGTTTGTCCCATATTGCATCTATTTCATTCTTTCCCGCTTGAGCAATGGTCACAAGGAAACAGGTTCAACTCAAAGTTGTATGATACATGGTAGCTACTTTGTTTAGTTGAATCCTTTCTTTTAAGCCTGATTATTCATAATTTATTGTTGTTAAATTTTCTTATTAACAGTTGAATCTTAAAATTGTCAACTAGCAAGATGATTGGAGAGGTACTTTATTTCTCATTTAACATAAAATTGAATTTATAACCAATTGTTGTCCACATTATTTCTTATTTTTCCTTATGTATTGCACAGAGTTCAAAAAAAGCAGAGAAAAGAATTAGAAAGGAGCGTGAAGCTATAATTGCTGTGACAATGGATGAAAGAAGAAATGCATCATTCAGAATTTTAGATGAGTGTTCTACTTCTCCACATGTTGAATCACATGATATGGAAGGAGTTGTAGACTCCACTCAAGTACCAAAGAAGAAAACTAGGGGGGCATCAAAGTTAAAGATGCATGACAAAGGAAAACAAAAGTGTGATGAAATTGACTTCAATGAAAGGAATCAGCATGTGAGACTTGAGTCAGTTAAACTATCGACTTTAGAAGGGATCTTGGTGCGAGAGACGGTGCCAATAACCATAGAGAGATGGCCTGATATTCCAGAAGAGGTTAAAGACAAGCTATGGGCCTGTGTGAAGGTAACATATATTTATTTAATTCATTATTATACTATCAACTCAAGTGTTTTTCCTAACCACTAAATTTTTGTTTAAATGCAAATGCAGCTTAGATTCAAAATACATGATTGCCATAGGAAACACATCATGCAAAAGTTTGGTAGATTATGGCGCTCACACAAATCTGAACTATCACGAAAAATAAGACCTCTTGGTAAAAGTGCTAAGCTAGCACACAATATTGTCCTCACCAAACCTGATAATGTAGAAATGGTTGAATGGAAAGCATTTGTGAAACAACGAACTTCCAAAGAATTTAAGGTAAGTTTCCTCATAGAAATTCTCTAGTTTTTATGAACTAATTAGTCCAACAAATTTTCTCATAGTGATTCAATTATGAATTATTAATCATATAAATTATGACATTCTTCTTTTGTATATGTAGGCAAAGAGTAAAAGATTTAGGGCAATGAGAAAAAAGCAAACCCTCTTTCACACCATAAGTCATAAAGGTTATGCACAATTAGAGGATGAAATGGTAAATTTAAGAGTGATTCAAGTAATTTTGTAAATTGGGTATGAAGTATGGTTACTTTGAGATTGTTTTAATCATGTTGATTTTCATTTTCTATTTTATTTTCTAGAGAAGAGAAAGTCGAGCACCATCATCCATATCAAGAGTTGATGTTTGGATTAAAGGGCATACAAGGAAGGAAGGAAAATCCATGAATGAAGTGCTTGATGTAATTGTGGTACCAATATTACTTCAATTTTTTTTTTTTTTGGGTATTATAATTTGCAATCACATCAATTTATTAAGACATGCTTTATATTTTTAGAAAAATGTTCAAGAACTTCATAAGGCTTCTACTGATGAGGGTCCAAAATCTATAAAAGATGATGTGATTTTTCATACTTTTGGTCCCGAGCATCGTGGGAGTGTACGAGGGCTGGGATTTAGGGCAATACCATCTAAGGTTGATGCACAAGTACACCAAAATGAGCATGTGAGAAAACTTGAAAGCGAGGTGCTGGACTTAGAACAACAACTCGATGAGATAAGAGCCATGCTTATCAAAGAAAAAAGGCAAAATGATGTAAGAGGAAAAGCTAAACATGATAATATAATGTCATGGCACATAATTTGTTTGTCTTTAATTTGTTATTTTACATTTAAATCACTTGCATGCTTATCTTTGATTGTAGGGTACCAATCCCTCCCAAAGAAGCTCCGATCTACTCCAATCTACTCCTCATGACAACCTTCCAACTTCAGTGAGTGAAAATAGTATTTTCAAAACATTTTTATCTACTTTTCATGTCTTTAATTGATGGAATTATGTGGTAGCTATACGCTTCATGAAGTGTTTTTATGGTTTTTTAGGTGAATGAAGTTGGTTCTGTTACTGAAAGCATTGAAGCTATGAAATTATCTAAACGTGGTGGTTCTTCAATTGTAAACCTTCCAACTGGTTTAGATATGGTAAGTTACTGTTTTTAGAAGTGCCTTTTTTTTCTTTTTTCAAAGTCCATTTTCCAGTTTACTACTGGTCTTGTAGTGCAGTCTTTCCTGAACTAATCAAAATTTTCAAAAAATCACTTGCATTACTAAGTCACCACTTGTTGCCAATTTTACAGCCACATGTGGTCAGTAGTCAGCCCTGAAAAGCCCTTTTTACCGCTTTGTAACATCAATTGTGGTTGCATAGCTGTGTAATGAGTGCTCTTCACACGTCATATGTAATATATTTATGACTGCATGTATGCTTGTGTTTTTATGTATGTTCATGTAGTATAAATTAGATCTTGTAGAAATGAAATTATAAACTGCATTGTTGATTTGCTGGAGATTGAGCTTCAAGCCAAATAGGCACTGCTGCATATTCTCCACTCATTAGAATAACCAAGTTTTGTGGTCTGGCAGATTTACTAATTTCAAAGCATGACAACTTTTCATTTTTTCTTCTTTTTTTTTTTGGTCAACATAAAGCATGTCGACTTGATATGGCGTTTTCATTGGATTTAGCTCACTGTTTCTCTCATGTACAGAAAATAATTGTCAATTGACATAATTCTTGGTGATCATTTGGATTTCAATTAGTAGATATATTACATGTTGCTATTAACCATTCAACCTTCTAATAATATGTCAATTTTGCCACTGAAACCTTTATGTGCACTCATTTTCACTGATAGGCTTTATGGTTTTGGGCTCAATCCCTATTGATTGAGATTATTGAGCTAAAGTGCTCTACCTAAGTATAAAATAAGCAAGGGAAAAAAAATGCTAGTTAAAGAAGAGCTACACAAATTGACACAATTAAAATTAAAGATCAAAATTGAGTCAGTTAAAAATATAAGGACCAAAATAAGAAGAGGGGCAAAATGTAAACTAGAAGACAAAAAATTGCTGCTGAACTGTTGCTGACATAATTCTAGATGCACAATCCTTGCTTCCAAGGTTTTTACATTACAAGTGGAACAACTTCCATAATGAACAATTGGGAGGAGGGTCTGTGATCTTTTGGACATATACAATGTGTCGTAACACCACATAACAAACAACTTCCAATGTTAAGAGCTATATCAGATGGTTCAACCCAGTCGATCAAATTCATAAACATCATATGTTTTATGCGGCTTGATGATTTCCCTAAGACTGAGTCTGAGACTTGGCAACCCCTTCTTTCTATCCTCTCTAATGAGCCCTTGATTCCCACATCGCAGTCAGTCTCTTTTGTGCCAACAAAACTGCTTCTGCTTTTTCCCTTGCCTCTTTACAAGTTTCCATCCCTGAATTGCACTTGTCTGCCTCCTTTTGATATTGGGATGTAATCTTCTTGGCCTCAAGCAGTGCCATGTCGGCACGCTGCTAACTTTCCAAAGCTTCAGTTTCCCGTAGCTTCAGCTCCTCGGACAAAAGCTCTGCAAAGTTCTTTTCTGTGTCTTCACTCACTTCAAGATCATGCTTCTCGCAATCTGTATTATAATATGGCCAAACATAACAAAGAAATGATGAAATTCTTAAAAGTCAAACACCTGTATTACACTGCGCTTTTGTTTCATACACAGATTCATGATAGTTGGGAGTCCTAGATCTCGGAACAAGCAGGTTGGAAAATTGGACAGAGATGTAACTGAAGAAATTGATATGATCTAGGATTACTCACATCAAATTGTAAAAGCATAACATAATGTAAACCTTGTAAGAGCTAGATATGCATAATGATGAAGAAACCACACTCTTAAATAGGGAAAGCCATGTCCCAAATGTCCCCAACTTTTTGCACATTGTTTGCCAGTAATTCTACGTTTAAAAGAAATGAACTAATTTAAATTCTCACAAAGAAAGTAAATTAATCAATTTTTTAGTTGTCATCTTTACAGTGCAACACACGTACTTATCTAATTTGTTAATGAGCCAATCCTAAAGTGATCCAATTCATATTTTTTCAAACATTCAAATGTGTCTTAATTATACCTCGGATGGTAATGTTTATGTAGTGGTTGAATAGCCTTTGTATGCCCTAAGATCCTTTTTTTGAGCCTTGTCATATTTTTAGGGCTATAATGTGGTCCAGCAGTAACAGTTTAGCTCTAAGCCAACACCTGATGATAGTAACAATTTCAGACATTCAAATGTGTCTTTTTTGAGCCTTGTCATATTCATCAGGTTAAGTAGACTCATAAGTGTGACCACCTCAAAATATGTATTTATCATGTTGAAATTTTCTTTTCTGACATTGATGACATATGTAAGTGAGTTCTCGTTGAAGCCTTTTGACACTTTCATTTCCTTTGTTGAACTAATACTTCGTAAATGGGATGAATGTTATGCAGTATGCTTATATACTCTTAATTTTTGTAGGATCAAAGTAATGGTGTGTCGAGCTTAGCAAATGTCAAATGCAAGTTGTTGCATTGGGAGGGGTCAAACTTGGTGGTAGCAAAAGGCCAAATTGCATCAAGGGATCCCAAGTCAAAGGTGCATCATGCAACTCTTGGAGCTTTGTGTTGGAAAGTATGGGTGAACCACGTAACAGTCAACGTGCCGTTGTTTCGTTCTACTCGTGAGATGTATGATCTTCAAGATGCAATAGGAAGTATAGTTGCATGGCCTAGTCAATTCATTATTTTGGACTAAATATTGGACTAATTGATTTACGATTTGTAGTTATACTTTTTGGATGTTTAAAGTCGTATTTTAGAGATTAGCGAATCTTATGATTTGGATACTTTTTTTGATTTGTATGTTTGAGGTTGTTATCATGCAAGATTATATGATCAAATCTATGATAATAGAATCTTCAAGATACCACTATTACATTGCAGGATGCATAGAGTAATATGAGTTTCTGGTTTTTTTAAGATGTCTAGTTGTAAATTTTGGAAATGAAATCAAGTCAGTGTAAGTGAAATCATGAAGTGCAAAGAGCATCACTTTGTTTAAGTGTACCATAAGCAATTCTTCCCTGTGAATAATTAGATTCAGCTTTTCTAGGCAGAAGTCAGGAAGCTGGTTGAGGATGATCACTTGCTAGAAGTAGTTCTTGTTTCTCTGGGTACTGCAAAGCATTTTATTGCAGAACTTGAGGTGATGGTGAGAGTATGAAGAAGTAAACACAACCAAAAGAACAATTGATGGTTGGGAAGATGTCTCTGGTTTTTTTTTTTAACAAGAAACAAAAGATATTATATAAAATAACAACTTAGTACATAGTTGAAGTTTAGATACAAATCTTAATCGAGAAGCTTTGGACACATCCAATAACAAAAAGGGGCAAAAACATAGGTGCCGTATTTATTTTTATATCTAAGGATGTGTATTGTGTTAGATAATGTCTCAATGGGACCACATATTTAAATGTGGTGTTATCATTTATAAGAAGCCTACAATTTAAGTGATTCAATTTAGTTAATAGGCTTAAGGGTATATGTGTCATGGACCTAATGTGTAGATACTAGTTGAGTAATTTCTATTTCTATGAGGGGCAGAAATAGAAATTAAAACAAAATTGGTTAAGTTGGTTTTCATAGAAACTGCCACACGGTTTTGTTTTTTGAAAACCTATTTTAACTTTAAGATGTTATGGTCCCTAATCCTGCCTGATAAGAAAAGAACTGCCAACTTCTTTGATATCCTCTCAAGGAGAAACTAAAGGCACCAAAAGGAAAGGATTGGAAGGCAATAACAAAGGCAATACAAAAGGTGGTATTGACAATCACGCTTCCGTTTAACCATTACGATGGAATCAGGTACGCTTTTGTTTGGTTTTCTTGCTAATACACATGATACATGATCCAAACTCTAAGGTTTTATGTTCTGAAAAATTTATCTAACAATTGGTATCAAAGCGGTTATATCATGTGTATTATCAGAATTGATATGCTATTATTCATCCTATTTAGTTTCCTGGTTTTCAGATTCTGAAATTCTGTATTTTCTGTTTTTTTTTTAAATAGTAATCTGTTTTCTGGAAATGTAAACTAATTGAGATGGGCAGTGGGTAGATAAGTGCATATATATATATATATATATCATGCGGTTTGATTG